CAGGTGAATTTTCTTGAGGAATCCACAACCGGAGCCTTCGGCTAGCCAAAGCCTGACCCGCAAGGCAGCGGGGCGGTGTGAAAACCGCAATCCATTGGCAACCGGTGTCCAGTTAATCCGATCATACGCCCTTCGGACAGGGTCAGACGTCCAAGGTGACCAATACACCCCGATGCCCAATCGAGTCGGTGATCACTGCCACAACCGGGAAGATGTGTGTGATTCGTATGCTTGTTCTTGGTTAGTTTGTAATCAGGGTTTTTGGCCAACTCCCCTAGGTGAACTGCCAGTTGTCCGCCAACCCGATTATAGCCCCGGATGTCGGCTTTTCATCCTCTCACTTTAATGGGAAAACACCTCCGCCGCGAGAAGGCAGTGAGTAGGGCTTCCTCAGCAGAGGCTATTGGAGACGCTTGGTCGTATGGGGGCATTTCGTGAGGTGCAGGGGCAGGGTGACCAGCCGCAACCCTAGACACCCACCCCCAACCATACAGAGGCCTTGGGAGGCTGAACTACGACGTACAGTGTATTATACTGTTGTTTATGACAGGTCGCCGGGAGACCAGAAACTTTGTAATATTGTCCGGGAGCGAGCGAGTGACGCAATTCAGTCAAACTGAAAGCAACCTATATCCAATCGTGACAAATCAAAGACCAATTCGACTCACTGGGTAACCAGAGAAGTACAAAATCCACTCCACGTTGTAACAGTTTACAGCCCTGTTCACAGGCCGCCTTGACCAGAGACAATTCGTCCGGACTCTCGGACTCGTACGACCCGTAGAGAGTTTGATCGGACAGGGGACAGGCAGTCGGATCGACCATATCCGGGACAAAATCCTCACTGACTGGCAAATCATACGACACCCCGTCATGTGCGACCACGGTCAGATGACGAATAGAGTGTGCGGGCACTTCATTCAACGCGTCCAGCGACTTCGGACCACTGTCCGGTTTTTGTCCGTGTGACGGACTTCCGGGGGGATTTTGTATTGATCGGCTTGATTCCAGATCTGTAAGTGGATAGAATTGAATTCACAGAACTCAAGAACTATCTTTTTTCTATGACACACCAGTGTGTCATGAACAATAGACGAGTTAGAGCCCGCAGTCACGAAGACCTGCAGTTCAGTGATGGTAAACGCCAATCTAAGCCCAGTGAGACTTGGAGTGGCAACCATACTGGCATGGTATAGAACCGGGCGATAGTAAAGCTGCCTGCACCACCAAAGTGGGGTGGCGGTTATGGCGGGACTCGAACCTAGGATCACAAGGTCCAAAGCAAACAGGTGACAGCGAATAAACCACTGCTCGCCACCACCACTATGCAGTTTCGAAATCGAAAACAAGGCACCGAACAAGCGCGTACATATTATGAACAATACTTATTCCAAACAAAGTCTATCTGACAATCAGATGACATAAATTGACGTATTATTATTGATTTGCATTTGGAGTATAGTGGTGTTAGGAAGCTTTATTGATTCCATGAGCTAAAAAGTCATCCATTAGGATGAATAGAACTATTCATGACTGACAAATGAATGGGTCTCAGTTTTCTTCTACATGTAGCGAGCAAGTAGTTAGCTAAGAGGATATAACTTGAGCAATATAGATTGCAAATTTAAAAACCATCTGGACATCGAATACGAATGATTTATTGTTAGCTCACATAATCCATCCTAGGTTGTTTGGTACTTGAAGGGAAGCAAGTGTGTCATGGCACCTGTATGATGGAAGAAGCAAACAAATGAACAAAAAAACAAACAAACCCCGTCATTATTCCTGTTCAATATGAGTCCATATCGTTTTCTCTTTTGTTCTCCAATCGTCAGCTTTTCTATCATTAATGTAGTCTATCTGGAATCATGCTTGTTGGATGGCTTGTGGGTGTATCGGGTTGCAAATTGTCATGATTCACTTACAAAGGGTGGTAAAGTAATGATTTAATTGCTATCACTAGCGGGCTTTGGACCCTGTAGGCCGAGGTTCGAACCCCGTCACTGTCACCAGACTTTGGTGGAAGGTAGCTTTGCTGCCGTCCGGTTCAATACCACGCCTAACCTAGAGTTATGTGGCTCACCACTCCAAGTCCCGGGGTTTAGGTTGCCAGTTTCCATCACTGAGAAGTAAGCCTCTGTGGCTATGGGCACCAACCCGTCTACTGTTCGTCACACAAATGTGTATAATAATGTCAACGGAAAATCAACCACCGTACAGAAAAATACGATTAAAAGGAACATTAGACAATGGATTATGAATGCCGCCGCTCACTCGAATCAGACGGCACGTGACCGTGGATGGTTATGCTCTCGAATTCGCTATTTGTGCCAAACCCGATGATTCGTTGATCTATATTTTAAATGCTAACCCTGTAAATCGTCACAGTCACTCCTATCCAATTCAGTGACTTGTGTTCTTCTTTAAACCGGCGGTCCGTAACTATATAACAGTTTTCATACACTGATGATAAGGTGCATGAAATCATTTTTTTGCGTTCATCGAGTTCGCATTGTTTCCTGTGATAACTTATCCTCAATTTATGGTTTTCAGTTTGAACTAATAGTTTATCAAACTCGGTACCAATTTTTCTACTGATTAGCAAATGGTTACATGCCATACGATCAGATGAGGAT